TTTTAGTTTCTTCTTAAAAATTTCTAGATTTTCTGCTTCTCTGATAGTTTTTGGAAGCCTATTCCAAACAAGTGGGGCAAAATATGAAAAAGAGCGTTGGTCATATGTTTTGTAATTTATTTTAGGTTTAACAAGGGTTATTTTGTCACTTGATGATCTGAGCGTTCTAGAAGGTACATAGGGCGTTAAAAACTATTTTAGATAGTCAGGTGATAAATCATGTAAGCACTTGTAGCAAGTTAAACAGATTTTATATATGATACACTCTTTCACCGGGAGCCAGTGTAGTTTTTAAAAAATAGGAATCACATGAACATGCTTTAGTTTCTTAGCAATTATTTTGGCAGCAATATTTTGTACTCTTTGTAGTTGTTGTAACTGTTCATCAGGTACACCAGCCAGTAAGGAATAGCAATAATCAATCCTTGACAATATATTTTCTAATGCTCCCTATTTTCTTCAGTTGGAGATATAGATTTTTACAAAGGTTGGATACATGGGATTTCATTGACATATCTTGATCTAGCACTACACCTAATTTTTTAAATTTTAATTTGGGCTGATATTTCGTGGCCATTGATGTTTATTCTGATATTGTCGATTTCATTGCATGCGCTGCTACGAAGAAATAATATTTCGGTCTTATTTTCATTTAATTTTAATTTGTTCTTAAACATCCATTTTCTTGTATCATTGATACATCTGGCGATTCTATCTATGAGATTGTGTACATTGTTAGTTGTAGTGAATCCATACAGCTGTGTATCGTCTGCATAAAGATGGTAATTGAGGGCATATAAAGAAATTATTGATGACAGACTTTGAGTGTACATTGTAAAGATGACAGGACCAAGGACGGAACCCTGAGGAACTCCATACTTTAGAAGTAACCTATCTGACACATCTTTGCCACTTTTCACTGAGATCAATCTATTTTCTAGATATGATTTAAACCACATTATAACAGTACCTGATAGGTAAAAATGACTTTTCCAATCTCTCTAGTAAAATTTCGTGGTCGATGGTATCGAACGCCACTGACAAATCAAGTAGAACCACAACACAGACTTTTTTATTATCGATTTCATTTAAAACATCTGATGATACCTTTAAAAGAGCGGTTTCTGTACTGTGGTGCCTTTTATAAGCAGATTGAAAAGGTTCTTCCATGTCATTGGCCTTTAAATGTTGTTGAACTTGTTGAAAACAATTTAAATAACTTTGACATGATGGACTGAACAATGAGCCTCTGGGATTTGTTTGCCTTATTGGTAAGAGTTTTCCTCGCTATCACTTTAAAAATAAAAAAGGGGGAGGGGGGGTTAGGTTTCAAGCTGAAACTAACAACGTTGGAAGGAATCCGAGCCGAAGTGTGAAACCACTTTCCACCTCCACCGTTCCCTTATTTTTCTTTTTGAAATTTGTTGTAAAGACTGGCAACAGACGAACCCGATTCCCAGTGGTGTTCTGCAGCTCACCTTTACATGAGTTCATAAGTTGTCTAGGTAAGATTGTTAAACATTTTGATTTAGGTTCTGATTCCGACAGATTATGGCTCGGTGTCAACAAATTTTTCAGAAACTTGGCGTGGGATAGACTTTCTTAATAAACTAATTTTTCACTGTTGAATAACATTAAACCTTGTACCGCACGTCTGTATTTCAGCAGTGAGTGAAATATTAGAATGCTTGCGCAGTAGACACCATGTAAAATATTATCAGGCTATACTGAAAAGGTACTGACAGACTGATAGTATTAACAACAAAACCAAGCATTCTGATAGAATCTCGATGGCACATAGATTATATAACAAACAATCAGAAAGTGTGACAGACATATCAATTCTAAAATTAATACATTCCAGAGACAGAAAACAGAAAGCGGCCTTGACACCAGAGTTGAGTCGAATTCAAGGAGGTAGATGAATAGTGCATTATTTAAAATAGACATGCACATCAATAAAGAGCTTTCTGCTGCAAAAAGTCGTTCACTCGTGCAAAGTAGAGTCTTAGATGGACTAGAAAGGAACACCAACAACGTGAGTAACCCCAACAGTATGGGGCTCTCGTGGCCTAGAGGTTAAGGTGCTGACCTCTCATTCAAAGGTCCCGGGTTCGAATCCCGGTAGCGACTGAAAAATTTTGTTCCAAAAAATTGTCTCCTTTCCCCTCCTTTCCTGCTCTCTAGCAATGTTCTGTTGTCTGCTTTCGTTTCCTCTTTCTGCCCCCCCCCCCCCCACACCCCTAACCTTTCCCCTTACTCTTTTTTCTGCAGCCTTTCTACTGCAGCACTCCTTGGCTCCCTCTTACTGCTATCTTTCAGCCACACCCCTAATCTTCTGGTAGGAAAGATCTACACCTAGCCTTCTCGGACAAGGGTGAAAAATCTCGGAGGGCCCGTGTGCAAGTCGCGCACGTTAAAGATCCCTTGGAGGTCTAAAATCGATACGAGTAAGCTTTGGCCGCCACCCGGGCAAAATTCAAAATTTCCTACCAACTGATAAAGTTTAATGTGTCCCACGCACTCATATGACCTTATGCAGTTGCAAGCGCCGTAAACACTTACCAAAACCCCCCAAACCCAACAGGTCTAAACCTCACCTGCACTCCGCAGAATCCCTTGGGCCCTAGGTAACGCTCACACTCAGCTGCCACGTCCGTCCATTTCCACTCAAACAAGTGAACGATTACTGTACGGCCTCCACATTGGGGGTCGTGGTAAGGCTGAACCGCCTGGCCTGTAGGGGTTGTTAGGGGTGGGGTGGGGGTGGGAGAGGGGACAGAGGGTTAGTGTTGGGTTGGGGGAGCAAAATAAGTATTTATCAGTTTTTCACGATTGAATACCCTACAAGACACCCAATTTCAAACCCCTATTTGTAAGATGACATCAGGCAAGAGCTGTTTTAACGTCTGCCCGGAGAATTGCACTTTCCTATAGAATAACCTGTTCTTTTGCTAAAATACACACACACACACACACACACACACACACACACACACACACACACACACGGTGGCTTCAGATAATCGCGAAAGTTTTAGTGTTCGTTAGTTCCTTAGGTTTCGAGTTTGTGTTATTTTTTTTCTAAATATTCGAAATTATCAGTATACATAGTGTTTGGTGTATCTCCAAATCTTAGTGTAAGGATTGTCAATGCCCTTAACAAAATCATGGATTAGGAATTATGACATACCTGTTGCAAACAAGAAAGCAACAGCAATTAACAGCCTCATCATGGCAGCTGTAGGACCCTCAGGTATACAAAACACGCATCCAATTGCTGTACCACCCTTTTATAATACTCGACTGTAGTTTCGTTGTCCTTCTCTCCCCCCCCCCCCCCCACCTTTTCTATCCCCGCGAGCCCAAAACCCTGCACATCAACTAAAGTACCGACGTTTAAGTCTTCACAAGGTCACACACTTCTTGACTTTTTTACTTGTTCTCTTTTACGTACAATCCTTCAGGCTACCACTTGACTTAGATAAGAAAATTCATTTTGTCCTGACAAAGAGGTTGTCCTGATTATTGGCAGGGCGCTTAGAAGCACAGCACACCCCCCCCTATTTTTCTCCCCCTCCCCAATTCTCAACACCAACCCGGAAAAAAACAACTATTGCCAAACAACGGCATTTGGTTGTACAAGGTATTTCTAATCTACACCGGAAAACTTGGAAAAACAAGATTTGTAGAGCCTCCAAGCACAGTTTGCGCAATCGTTCTAAACTTTAAAAAGAACGTGCCCTTAGATTAGAGACTTAAAACATTGCTTTTACTTGTCATCTTAAAGTCCTTGGGTATTTTCTTGTACAGCAGAACCTGGCCACAAAAAAATAAAAGATTCCTTGAGACTGGAAAATACCCTGCGTGAGATCAGCTGTTGGTCTATTTAATACACATTGTACTTGTATTATTATATGTCATGCCCACTACCTTGGTTAGTAAAGTTTCAAAAGTTCATTAACAACTTAATAAGTACTTTGAAAGTTAAAAGTTGTTTTCTTGCTGATAGAAGGTGGGTAATTTGTAAACCCTGCCCACAGTAGATACAAGAACAGCTTGAGCATGATTATACGAAGATCCCTTCGTCAAATGTGGTAAAAAAGAACCGTATGTTTGTAGTTTTTTCCTGTACTTGTTGCAAAAAGACAAAAACTTTGTGTTTAAACAGCACGGTCTTTGAAATGTGAACAACGGAAAGATTTCAACATAACTTTATCTCAACTACCAAAGCACTAGATGTTGTTTGCACATTCTCAAGTGGGACAAAACCACAAAGACAGGACGCGTTACTATTTTAATGTGTTACAAAACCTTTGTGGTTCAAATGTTGAGCTGTCTGCTATTATTGTTATCTATGATTCTTATGGCGCTGACCCTGCGTTTCTCCATATGTATGCGAAGGTCGCATTCAATATTCATGGGAACACGACAAAGCCGAACATTTAATTTTATGACTTTCGGATTAAGATGTTCTAAAACACATAATATTGCAGTAGGCTTCGGTTGCTTTGTATTGTTATAAATACACCAGAATTGAGCGACTGCTTTCCTGTTCCACTTCCGAAAAAAATCGTGAGTGCCTACTGTTCAGCTTAGGTTCAAAGCTCCACGGGTAAAAAGCCAAAAGGAATGCGCCAAGCAGTTGTTAGAGGCCTAAAGGGTTGCGTTGGCAGCAAGCTCAGGCCGGCTCAGGCTAACAATAATGCCAAGCATGTATCGGTGACATAGCGTTTTGTGGATGGTCACTTGGGTGTGTCCTTGACAAAAACACAATACCCTAGCTCAAAAACAGGGCTCTGCACTGTGGCGACCAGCTTTGTGTGATAATTATTGTGTATTATTTATGCGCTTAGGTATCAATGTATTTGTGTACTTATATACGCCATTGTAAAACACATTGACGGCGTCTGTTGTGAAGTGGTTAAGCACTTTGCCCTCACGCGCAAGAGACCTGAGCTCGATTCTCGAATGCAGATACTTTTATCGAGTATCTCAGTCCTTCTGCTGGATGTTGTATCCCTCTCAGCCCGGGTTAGCCCTGAAAAGCATGGTCGAAACACGCCTCGTACATGATCGAAATTGTGTCTATGGGGGCAAAAACAAAAATAAAACTACGTTAGAAATAGATACATTTCCCTATTGATCAATGGAAAGGAATTTATTTAGTATAATTTTTATTTATTTATATTGGATATATTCCTAAGATTGCTGTCAAGTAGTCGTGGCTTTGATGCAATTGAAAGCAATACCTGATTCATTGTGGTCTAGGCCCTAAGCTTTCAGTTGTGTTAAAGGCACACGGGCAGTTTCATAATGATCTTTTTGTTTTTGTTACTGTTTTACGGCGCTTGCAACTGAATAAGGTCATGAGCGCGCTGGACACATTTTCAGTTGGTAGAAAAATTTGAATTTTGCCCGGGTGGCGGACGAAGCCTACTCTTATCGATTTTAGATCACGAAGGGATCTTTAACGTGCACACCTTGCACACGCGACCTCCGAGATTTTTCGCCCTTGTCCGAGAAGGCAAGGTGTAGATCTTTCCTGCCAGAAGACTAGGGGTATGGCAGAAAGACAGCAGTAAGAAGGAGCCAAGGAGAAGCTGAAGAAAGGCTGCAGAAAGAATCAGGAGCCCAGAGGAGGGGGGGAAAGGAGGTGGAGGGGGCAGGGGCAGAAAGTGGAGACGAAAGCAGACGACAAAACATTGTAAGAAAGCAGGAAAGGAGGTGAAAGGAGGCAATTTTAGAGAAGAAAATGTTACGTCGCTACCCGGATTCGAACCCGGACCTTTGAAAGAGAGGTGAACACCTTAACCTCTAGGTCACGAGAGCCGTCTTCCTATTGTTCTGCCTGTAGTTGATAATGCAAGAGCGAAAAAGGAATTATTTTAACAGGAACAGCAATATTATGTATCTATTTCGAAATTCAAACTTAATAACAAAGTGTTGGTTTTGTTGATTAAACGTAGCCTCTCATTCTACATCTCTCTCTCTCTCTCTCTCTCTCTCTCTCTCTCTCTCTCTCTCTCTCTCTCACTCTCTCTCTCTCTCTCTTTCTCTCTCTCTCCGTCCCTATATTTTTCGCACCCATTCTCTTTATCTGTAGGCCTATGCATTGTATCTGTTTGAGTCATGAGTTAATGGATTTCGCTCGTCATTGTATCCGGTGAACATGTATTTCATTTTTGACCTTTCCTCCTCACTTTCCCTATCAGCCCTTTGCATCATATTATAATATATCTAAATCTTTTTTGTCTTTGTCATTCATCCTGTTCGCAATTCCATTAAGAATGATGATGGACGTAGTTCTGACAAATGGGCTCAGTCGATAACTGAAAAAAACAACAACAACAAGCAAACAAAAACACCCCCTCCCTTAAAAAAAATTCCGACCCCCACCCCCACCCCCCAAAGAACAAAAAAGAACAGGAAAGTGAAACACCTGAACTAGGAATCACATTTTCCCGAATCGTCTATTCTACTGCAGATTTACAAAACAACATTCATTAGGTAAAAAAATAATGTCTTATACACCAAGCTTTAAATATAAATATAACGCGCAACATATTATTTACAAAATAGTGCATGAGTGTTGTATAATACGAAAAACAAAAAGTTACAACATGCACCAATAATGTCTCCCATACCCTTATTGGGCTCATTTTTTACAATTGCATGTAAATACCCAACGCATACTCCCCCCCCCCCCCTCCGGACTAATTACCCTTTTTTTCCCAAAAGTATTGAGGATAATTGTTCTATGCTTCTATATCGCTCGTCTTTGACTTAAACGAAAGATTGTGCTTTTTGCTTTCCCTAGACACAAATGGGGACGACAAAAAAGTAAAACAAAACGGAAACTCAAACACCCCTACCCCCTACCCCTCCCAACCCTGTACACCGTTGAAAAAACCAATTCTCAAATAAATATTTTACCGGAATTACTAGCTGTTTAATCTCTGCCCAGTCCCAAGTTAAACTTTCCAATCTGCTGCAGATAACCAAATTCCTTTAAAAAACCCAAAACCTTTGAGAATTGCAATAACACGAAAGTGATCTAAAGTACAGCCTTGTGCGCGGGTAAAATAAATGTTTGCTTGGTAACCAACGAAAAAAGCTAGAAACATGTTGCTTTCATACAGTGGCTGTTCATAGCCAGCGAAAGCACGCTACAATTATACAGAATTGCGTGCTCGATTTATAATCCCTTCCTGAAACTGACTGAGCGAATCCACAGCAACCGACGTGGCTCCGGATATAGCATTACTGGACATTGTATTTAGGGCAGTGTCCTTATACATGTATTATTATAATGACGTCAAATACCAAGACAATGTCGTCATGTACTATTGTCTCGTTTATAGCTACTTTAATCAGACATTGGTAACTTTACTGGTACAATGCAGGACAGCAGTACGGATGACACTCTGGTCTAATACTCAAAGAGGCGGTTTAAAACTTGTTTAATAAGAATTTTACGGCTCTTGCAACACACAGAGGTCAGCTCTAAGGTTCGAAGATTAAGGTATTACTTGAGAGCAACATACACAAGGCAGAAGGAGGAGAGATAAGGACGACATAATATTTGATAAGAAAGAAAGAGCAAATCCCACTAGAGCACTCGCCAGCGACCCATTTCGTAGACTTGGATTGCTTAGAAGTTTTCAAAACTCTTCACCTATAAAACTAGAGTGTGGTCAAAAATGCATGGCGCAACTTATTGTATATCGAACATAGATTCTTCAACTTTTGCACAATGACTGATATCAATTTGATCTAAGAGGTGAATATTTTTTCAAACTCCTGCACACTGTATTCTAGAAAATTCCTTTAAAGGGGGGGGGGTGTACACCTGAAGGCTATCTCACTTATTACAGGACCAACGTTGACCAAATTTCACACATATAACAAGCATAGTAAGGAGTCTTAAAATCTGCAATCAAATTTGAGAAAAAAGTTTCGTTTCCATGGATACGGCGGCCATATTGGATTTGTGGACATGTCTTACGTAATGAATACCGCACTCTAGACACCACAAACAAAAATCTATTCCGTATACCAAAAATTCGACAGACAAACTTTTAGCATTACATCTTCTCTTCATTTTGTGAAACTTCCATGAAGATTGGATGAAAAATGGTGGCGTTATTCAAAAAAGTATAGAGAAAAGTCGCGTTTTGAGAAAACGGCCGATAAAGAAAAATACAATATTGACTTTATGAGGAAATGGTGGTGACAAACATGCCCGGTATGGGAAAAATACTGTTTGGTGGGTTCTTATACGATGAAATGGTTGTAGG